CTTTTGGAACACTTTTACCTTGTCGTTCTCCTCTATTTTGGGATACTTTCTTTTGTTCTTTTCTCGTAGTTTAAGATTGACCTTTACATTTATTTCATTGTCGTCCTTGTGTGCTTCAGACGGTGCCATCCTTGTTGATGAGTGAGATGTGCTGTTATACTGTTTCAATGCTTGCGTTAGGGCACCGGTCCATATCATGTTGTTAAACCTAACTCTATCGTGAATTTTGTTTTTCATCGTTCTAATAAAACGCTCGGCCACATTTGCGTGGGTCTTCGTGACGATGTGGTTTATTCCTTCACTGTTGAAGAAATCCTGAACATGATTTTTAGTTGCAAACGCTCCGTCGTCATCAGAATACACTGACATCGGATAACCCATCTTTTTAAAGCTTGCTCTCAATGCCTTCAAAACGTGCTCTCCGTCTCTTTCCTCCATCGGTATTACATCTGCTAATTTACTGAAGATGTCAATCACGACTAAAGCATACTGTGGAACGTTCTTGTCTTTTGCTAAAGGTGACATATGCATTATGTCTATTTGATATTCATATCGTGCGAATGGAGCGGTATAGGAATTAGTACCTCTATAATTTTTGATTTGTCTATTTGGTTGTTTCTTTAAGAAAGACTTTACATCGTCTATTGTTATTGTTGGGTCTTCTTCCTTTGCCTTCTTGTGTGTCGCTTGTGTGCTTCCGAAACCCTCGTCTAAGTCGTAATAGATGTTGCTGATTATTTGGTCTTTTGTTAATCTCGCCATTATATTAAATTGTTAGAAAATATTTTTTCAATATAAACCCCCACCCCTCAACATAAAATAAAAAAACTACTTAAAGAAAAATGGATATATATAGTAAGAGAAAAACATGTCACTATTTAATTATGATAATTGTCCTTGTAAAAATAAAAAAAATGTAAGTCTGTCGTGGCACTAGCTAATATTTTACCTGTTGATGTGTGTAATCTTATAGGTGGCTATATTAGAGTAACATGTTTTGATTGCTGGTATTTGATGGATGAAGAAGAACATTTTATGAGAAATAAAGACATTCCTGAAGAAGGACTGGAAAAAGCAGAACTTCAATTACAAGTTATTAAACTAATGCAAAATAATGTTTTTACACTACTAGCAGAAAACCAATATAGTATAAAAATAAGACATTACAGAAAACACATTGACCGAGTATTTGATATACAAGAAGTTAAAGAACGGTTTAAAAATAGAAAAATGTATTATCAAGCATTAAAATCATACTGTAAGAATAATGAAAATGACATTTGTATCATTTTAAGAAAATGTCTTAACATTGAAGATTTAAAAAAAAATTAAGCGTTGTGGGTTTAGCTTTCCAAACCTAAACAGTTGGTGGTCATATAGAAACAACAATTATTGTATGAGATATATTCTTAGCGAATTAATTGAAATTTACACAGACCAATTAATAAAAGGATACGAGCGTTATTGTTGCGAGTATAGTATGAGTTGTTATAGTGGTTGTATCGCTGGTGAGATTGAATACGGGTCAAATTAACTTTTGTTTATTATTATTATTATCTTACAATATGATTAAACATTGTTTTATAATCTACCAAGAAGGTTAAGACAGTTAAATTAAACCTGAAACCCAGACTGCCAACCAGCAACCCCTAGCCAAAACTACTTAAAGAGAAAACGCCTTATATATTAAGAGAAAAATGAGTAAGGGTAAAATGTCAGAGAATAATTTTCTAGTTGAGAATTGTGCTAGCTTACCTGCTGATGTATTAAAAGGTATCATTTCATATAGATTAGGGGGACCTGAGTATTTGAAAATAAAACATAATCATATTAATACATTAAAGAGAATACAACAACGATACAAAATAAACAGAACAGAAACAAAAAGAAAGACAAAGCGCTATACTGTTGAAGATGGTGATGATATAAAGAGACACACAATTGAGTATTACATTTCAAGAAATATACCTTTAAGCATAAAAAGCATCAAAGATATAGTGTTTAATGAAAATGAAAACTTAGATTGTTTGTTAGATGGCATTGAAACCGATAACGGTTATGAAGCAGTGATAATAGTTGAGGTAAATATGTTTGTAAGGTTTCATCATTTCAATTATTATGAAGACGACCATTTTAACACTTTTAGTTTTCATTTTCGTAGTGATGATGTTGTAGATAATATAACCATAGATAATATAGCCGATGTAATGAGAGCGGCGTATCAAACAATATACAGATGTATTGATGGTGAAAGAAGTAGAATGAATTTTGAAGGAGTACAAAACATAAGGTTTAAACTAATTGTTGATGAACCTGTGTAATTCATAACTAAACCAGAACCCCCTAGCCAAAACTACTTAAATAAACATTACCTTATATATTAAGAGGAAAATGAACGGTGATGGAATCAATAATTATATCGATAAAAATGCTATGATTGCTGTCACTTCAAAAAAGAAAATATGGAATTGTATAAATTGAATTTGCCTAATGAAATAGTGAATAATATTATTAATTATTCAATGGATGAAAAAGACGAATGTGAAAATTGTCAGGAATGGAGAGATAATCAATTTTTAATCAAATGTCTGTTGAGAATAAAAGGAAGACAGAATAGAAATGTAGAAGATGATATTTTAATATTTCTAACTGTAAATAAAATACCACCTTACGATTATGTTAAACAGTTTCTTAAAATCAGTAAGAAAAATATGACATGATTTACGATATATTATGGATGTTGGGTTATAGTCAAGAGAAAGGAGAAGATGTTAAAGAAAATATCAAATATTTATTGAAAGTAAAAAGTTTAATGTTCAGAATACAGTGAGAGATGTTAATACTATTTTTAAAATGATGTATGAAAGAAGTAAGACAAACCAATTAGATTATTATCCTGAACTGAAATTATAATCATAATATAAGAATAACATGTAAAATCTTATATGTTATAATTATACTGAACTTTTAACCTATAAATGAAAATTAGTGAGAAAAACACTAACAAAACAAATGCACCGCCAACACCCCAGAACATGATAACTACTAAAAGGGCTACCTCTTTCAAATGAAAAAAATGTCGGCCCCCAGCCCAACAATGAACAAGGCGAGAATTTACCCAAGTGATTACCTTAACGAAAACGATATATAAGCTCCTCAAAAACACCCTTTTAATAACGAAGAAGGGGGAACACAGATTTGAGGTTAACATAAAAACCAGAACAGGCAACCATCAACAGGCCACCCCTCAGAATCACCCTTTCTTCCATTTTTTCCCCCCCCCCCCCCCCCGGTCTCAGGCTCGATTCCTCCCTGGTCCATCCCCCCCCCCCGGGCAGTGGCTCAGTGTTTAGCAGTCTCGGTTTGCCCGTTTTGGACTTGGTGCTACGAACTTTTACATGTTCCACCGATTTAGCTTGTTCATTTGAGACCTCAGTCTTCTCGGTAAACCACCTCGTAAGAATCTTTGCACGCAGCATGCAGAACCCAGAGGTGCTTTAAGACAGCTTCTGACGCCTTTCGTTGTTTTCATTTTTCAAGGTTTGCCACGCCACCATGTGCGTTTGCGTGTTGCATCCTGCGAATCTTGCCGGGCCTCTCGTTGTACACAAGCTACCTATGCCGACCCATCTCATGCCACAACTGCTAGCTTTCGTTCACCCGCTCCTCAAGTTATATCTTCATCTCTCTGTCTCTATCTCTGTATCTCTCTGTCTCTGTATATCTCCATCTCTCTGTCTCTCTATCTCTCTATCTCTCTATCTCTCTATCTCTCTATCTCTCTATCTCTCTATCTCTCTATCTCTCTATCTCTCTATCTCTCTATCTCTCTATCTCTCTATCTCTCTATCTCTCTGTCTGTCTTTCTCGCCATCTCTCTTTCTCTCTCTGTCTCTCTATTTCTTCATCTCTCTGTCTCTCCATCTCTGTCTCTCTCTCTCTCTCTCTCTCTCTCTCTCTCTCTCTCTTTATTTCTCGCCTTCTCTCTATCTCTCCATCCCTCTTTCTCTATCTCTTTGTCTCTCTATCTCTCCATCTCTCCTTCTCTCCATCTCTCCATCTCTCCTGTCTATCTCTTGGTCTCTGTATCTCTCTGTCTCTCTTTCTCTCCATCTCTCTGTCTCTCTATCTCTCTATCTCTCTATGTCTCTGTCTCTCTTTCTCGCTTTTTTTTCTTTCTATCTATCTATCTATCTATCTATCTCTCTATCTCTTCTATTTCTCTATCTCTCTATCTTTCTATCTCTCCGTCTTTCTGTCTCGTCATCCTTCTTTCTCTTTCCGTTTCTTTTCTCTTTTTCCTTATTTTTGTTTTTGTCTCTGTCCGTCTATCTTTCTCTCTCTCTTTCTATCTCCCTGTCTCTCTCTATTTCCCTCTCTCCCTCTCTCTTGCTCTTTTTTTGTCTTGTTTCTTCCCTCCCTTCCTTCCTCCTTTCCCCTCTCTTCCAACCTCCCTTCCCCTCTCCCTCCCTCCTCCTCCCTCCCTCCTTCCCTCCCTCCCTCCCTCCCTTCCTCTATCTCTCACTCTCTCACTCTCTCTTACTCTCTCACTCTCTCACTCTCTCACTCTGTCTTCTTCTCTCATTCTCTCATTCTTTCTCTTTCTCTCTCTCTCTCTCCCTGTCTTTCTTCTTTCTGCTCTCTCTTGTTCTTTTTTCTTTCTTTCCTTCCTTCCTTCCTTCCTTGTTTTCTTTCCTTCTTTATTTCTTTCTTTCTTTCTTTCTTTCTTTCTTTCTTTCTTTCTTTCTTCTTTCTCCCTTTCATTCTTCCTTCCTTCCTTCCTTCCTTCCTTTCTTTCTTTCTTTCTTTCTTTCTTTGATTCTTTCTTTCTTTCTTTGATTCTTTTTCGCTTTCTTCCTTCCCTTCTTTTGTCTCTCTCTCTCTCTCTGTCTCTCTCTCTCTCTCTCTCTCTCTCCCTCTCTCTCTCTCTCTCTCGCTCTCTCTTCTCTTTCTCTCTTTCTCTTTCTCCCCTCTGTTTGTGACGTCACTGACAGTGTCAGGCGAATGCAAAGAAGAGGAAGGACGGCGATGCATGATCCGCCCTGGTTTAGCCATTCATGCAGCCAGTTCTTGCGAGGAGTCTTGGGATGAGGCACAAAGGGATGATTTCTCTCAAAAGCGTCGCACGGGTTTCTTCAATGCGCATGCATGTCACATGGGTTGCAGGATGGCCCCGCGCCCCACGAGCTTGTCCGCCTGGCACGGCGAGCTGGTGCCGAGGCCGTGAAGCCAAGATATCGAACATCGGACACTGATGCACAGTGGGTCAGGACGTGGACCCAGTAGGATACAGTGGCGGTAGAGTTGTGTTGATGCAAGCCTTCATCCGCCTTGAGCCTAAGGTGTTGGAGACGTTGCGGAAGTTACCAGACGCAACCGATCTGGTCTTGGCTCATCTTCTAGTTCGTAGAAGGCTGCATAGCTTGGAATGCTAGGGGCAACTTCTGCTGAGGAGGACCCACCGCACTTGGCTGGTGATTTGGTGGCAAAGAGGCTGGATGACTTTTTCAATAGATGTTGAGAGCTGGGGCTGCGCAAGGAAACGGAAGCGGCCCGGGAATTCGGCGAAGGCTTGGCTTAGCCAGCGTCACGGCTCAGCCGCCTTGTGTGCAATTGTGCTACTTGGGAGGACAGTGGGGCTGCAGGCTTACCACAAATGTGGCGCGGTGCTCGGGTGATGTGATAAGCGACATCGTGCTTGGGAAGTTTTCAGATAACTTGGCTGCTTGAGTTCAGGTGGCGCAAACCCATCATGGTGACAATGCCTTCGGCAAAAGTGCCTTCAAAGGACCGGTTCAGGGCTGTGAGATGGTCAGCGAGTCACCGTCAGGGCCGCAGTGAAAGGGCTGTGAAGCTTGCAAACGAGCTGGGGCCTGCCACTCAGAGCTGAGCAGATGCGGGCGGGGCCAGAGGGAAGTATCGGAGGTGGGTGATCCTGCCCTCCTCTTGGATGCTGGACTGCATTTCCCACGGGGAGGTGCGCCGAGTCGAATTTCTGCAGAGACGTCGCATCGGCTCAGCAGGTCCGCATGCCGTGATGCATGGCAGAGGCGATAAACAGCGCTTGCTGTTTGTGGGAGCACTATTCATGCGCAAAACAACGGCATATCGCCAGGGTGCTTTGTGGGGGCTTCACAAAGCTGTTTTCAAGCAATGGCGCCAACGGCACGCCCGCCATGGCTTTTGCAGCTTTCGAGAGTGCCAATGCAATCATATTCATGCTCAGGTGTGCAGAAGCAGTGGCTGATCCGAGAAACAAAAGATGCACGTGGAAGTCGGTTTGGCCAAGGCTCAAGGCTTGAGTGTGACCTTGCCGCCAATTGGCTCAGCTTGAAGTCTTCATGATGCAGCTGGATCCCTCGACCCAACGGAACTTGTGAGCAGCGCGTCTGGGAGACAAAAGCAACTTCCAAGGTACAATATGCTCCCCTTTCCTTCGATAGCCTAGCAATGGCCAGATTGTTTTAGTGACTTTATAGTTTCCCACATTCAGCAAGGCTCAAAGCCAAGAGTGAAACACAGCCGCCCAGGAGGATCCAGCCATGGTGGCCTGGGAAAAGCAAATTGAAGAGCGCAGCGTCCCTGAGTGGCGCGTGCTCCTGGCTGGTTTCTGGTCTCTTGTTTTTTGCACCGTTGCTTGGCCTGTTAGGACAAGTACGTGGCCTACGGCAGGCTCAAGAGAAAGTTGGCAGAGTCCTTGGCGTTCTGCAAGCTTTGCGGCCTTTTTTTGAGGGATATTGCTTGGAGCCGTCGTGCCAGCACTCGGATACGCCCAAGGAGTACATTTCTCAGCCAGCTGCTGCGGGCAATGACTGGCTTTGCTTTGTCATGTGAGCAGGGCCTCCCCCAACTTCCTGGGATGGCACGCATTGCAGAACACAAAGCATGTTCTAGGTTTTGAAAGATCAGACCTGGGAGATTTGTCGGCTCATCCTTTGAACATCACAGCATTACATTACATTATCCTTTGCTTGTTCGGAGTGCGAAGGGCCAGAAATCCTAACAAGACTCCAAAACGGGATGTGCGCTTCCATACAGGCACCGTTTTTTTTTCAAGAATACTTGTCTCGGGAGGATTCCATCACCCACGCTATTACCAGAGCAGCCATCGACGAGGGCGAGTGGTGATTCTCTCAAGCTAGCGCTTTGAGATCAGTGCATGCTGATAGCCTATGGGAAGAATCGCTCCTAGCAAGTTGTCCTTGTATACGGGTTTGCACATCTCCTGCACTTCTCAAACTTGGATCCAGGAGCGGGGCAACAAGTTTGGCACTTTGAGAGACTTGAGCTAACGTGGAAAGTTTCCACCCCCTTCGGTAGATCGTGCATTTGACACCCATTTGCAGAGCAACCTATCGAGATTTGCCAAGGTATCGCAGAATCAGCAACGATGCTGAAGGTCCACTCTTGGACCAGGAGTGCAATGCAGCTGATTCCACCTGTTCACCAGCCACTTAATGACTCAAACAACAGAAGGGCCTGATGCCGTGGCTGTCATGTCCTAATCATGGAAGCGAGTACTGTATGTCAGATGAGCTTTGAGCTTGCGATGTGCTTGCCATGCAAATGTACTGATCTTTGCGTCAAACCTAGCCATGTGGCTCTGACGTAGTTTGCTCAATGCCTATAAATGTGCCGTTGCTTGTCCTTTCGATCTGCCTTCCCGGCAAGCTGCATGCCATCAGAGAAGAGAGCTGGCTTGGTGGCCAGCTGCGTGCAGCGTGGCACGAACTGGTTTGGCTTTGCCAACTCTCGCTCGCTCTCTCTCTCTCTCTCCTTCTCTCTCCTTCTCTCTCCTTCTCCTTCTCTCTCCTTCTCTCTCTCTCTCTTTGTCTCTCTGTCTCTTGTTTTATTCCGTTTTGTTTCTTCTTTCTTTCGTACAGGGGTGGCTGATTCCATGAAGCAAGGCGAGCAGGAGGCCCAGCCCAGAAGCACGATTCATTGGCCCCAGGCCCTTGGAACTGAAGACTGTCCGGAAGCAGCGCTTCTGCCGGCACCTCCTTTTCCCACGGTGCTCCTCGGAATTCACAGTGGAGCCCATGGATCACAGGACCTGGCGTATGGCTCTAGCGGCTGTTTGGGCTCGGTGGGTTCGGTGAAGAAAGCCAGTGCTTGGGTGATCCGAGGTTCGAGCTGCCTTACGCTTTTGCCAAAGACATCAACTTTATGGATGCCTGGGTGCTGAAAGAAAACAGTGCCTGCAGTGGCGAGCCAACGTGTGAAGTTTCCGTCGCCCCGCACTTTGACAGTCAGAATCCGTACAACTCCACGGTTCGGATTACTATCAGAGCCAGATGTCTTCGACTGCATCCTCGGCAGCTTTTTGTTTGCCCCAAGACCGCCGCTGGCTGCATCGCAAGGCTCTCAGCAAATGGGAAGGTCTGTAAGGGACTCTCAGACTTTGTGACATGTCGCTTCATGCTTTGGCTCGTGCTTCCTTTCTCCTGGCCCGTGGCCTTTTGCGCATTTCTGAGCAGATTTCCTGAGGATGGGTCCAGGGGGTTGGGATCTTATGAAGTTTTATCGAAGGAACTTCCGTGGCTCACTTGCGTGCGTGCAAAGCGAACACCGAGAAATGGGGAATAGAAGCCTTGTTTGCGACGCCTGACGCGGGCTTGGAGTGTGCTTGGACCAAGTTCGGGCTGTCTCGGACCATGCTCGACGGTCGTTGGCAGACCCTCGTTCCGCATGGGTTTGTGTTACACCTTGCTCGCGCAACCCTTTGCGCGCTTTCGCAGGGTCTACTGTGAATACTCAGACTTTTGGGTGGTCAACCATGCCAACAAGTGAACTAGCTGAGTATCGAACAAGTATCTAAAGCAACAGACAACTTAGTTGGCAAATTGGCTAACCAGCTACTAGCTAGCTGGCTAGCTACGTAGCTTACCAGCCTACCCTTGAACTAGCCAACGCCCGAACCAACCAACTAGCAAACACTAAAGATTGACTTAGCCAACAGCCAGCTGAACTAACTGCCTAGCCAGCGAACTAGCGATTTTGCTATCTAGCCAACTGAGCATTTCTTCCTTATTAGCGAACCTGTTCAAGAGCTAGCAAGCTCACTAGCAGCCAGCCAGTCTTAGCAAATTGACTCGATAAACAGGCAACTAGCCAGCTGAGCCAACTACCCAAGCAGCGAACGAGCCAGGTCGCGATAGAACTAGCGAGTTTTGTTGTCACTTAACAAGCAAATTGCTAGCTGGCAAGGTAGAGCTGGCTCGCCAACAAGGTAGTCAGCCAACCATCTAACCAGCTAACTTGACATGACATCATGACCTGTGATCCTCTGCTTCTTCCGCTCGCCTAGGCTGCTGTGCGATTTCCTAGAGAGCCTTGGCGGTTGCGGCACTTGGCTTCTTTCTGCATCTCTCCCACCAGGCTGGGGTGGGATTGAACGGGCTTGAGTGCTGGCTTGAGTGGCGTCCATGAGAGCTGAGGATGCAGCGCATGGACTCGATGGATAATATTCTTCAGGATGTGGTGCTGGAAGGTTTGTTCTTGCTGAACTTGCTGGTTACCCTCAGAGCTTTGGCTGCATTGCCAGTCTGTGCAGGGACATGGGGCCCCAAGCAGCACAAACAAGGTGTTTTATTTTGGCTCGTGCGAGAGATGCTTCTCCTGTACATGAGACCTGATTATGGCCACATGGAGACA